GGCCCGCGGGTGCACCGACCGGGGACCCCCCCCCCCCCATCCCCCAGGGAGCGGAACGGGCGGCGATTGCCGATTGCGGGGCCCGCGCGGGCCCTCCAGGAAGCGCAGCCGGCGGCGCAGCCGACTTTCTCGGCTTTTTGAAAAACGGGAAGGGAAGGCAGGCGACCCCGCCGGCAGAAAGCGCCTTGCCCTTCGCCCAAATCTCCCACCCGGCTTCCAAGGCTGCCGCCGGCGACCCCCTCTCCCCGCCGCGGGTCGCTGCGCGCCTCCGGCCGCTGCTCTTTAAAAGGGAAGCGGGAACTCCACCCCAACCCCCATCTCTCTTTCTCTTTTTTTTCCCCCGTCTGGAATTTCCAACCCGGGGACTGACTCGTCTGATTTCTCCAGTCTCCCCTGCTGCTTTTTTTTTTTTTTTCCCTCCTCTTTTCTCTCCCTTAACACTCCCATCCCATATTCGAAGCTGCACTTTCTGGAAGGCATTGGCCACGTTTTAAAATCTTTATAGAGGATGGACGGAGAATTCAAACCCTCACAGCTGGCAAAATGTCTGTTCTCCAAACGCCTGTATCATACATTTATTCTAATGGCAACACTACCACCATTGGCCGACCCCCATCCCAGATAGAACCCAGATACATCGTCTTCTAGCAAAACCTCCCCAAATTGCAACACAGCACTCGCTGGTCTCTGCCCCCCTCCCTCACTCAACTAAACCAGATCCGAAATTGTTAATGTTTTATAATCGTATTCTCCCTAGCCGATCTCAATGGTATCTTTGTCAGCTGGCTGTTACACATTAAAGTGTAGAATAAACTCTGACGAAATAGCCTTAAAAGTACCCACACACATAAAATAGAGTCAAATGACATATATTAAGGTAATTGAAAAAGATTAGAAGCTCAGAACCTTTGAATCAAGATTTTTCCAAACTGCTCATGTCATGTATTTCATCTCTGAAACATAATTGCCAGAATGTTTTGCTCTTTTTCCACCAAGAGCTATGCCATCACCAGAACTTTACATTTGGAACAGTTGACCATGCTTGGAATACATTAGTGATGGGAATTACAATTCTTTCCCTTCTTTCCTCCAAAGTTCTCCATCGTAGAAAGCACTGGAGTAAAACTTCATCTTTTGACTTTGGGTCAGAAAAGGTTTCTAGAAACCCTCCACTCTTCCAGAGGACAGTCAGACACCACTGTCCTCAGGAAAGGATCTTGAAACACTGTGTACTAAATGGCAACAAGTTCAGGGTTCTCCCCTGGCAGTAAGGCGAACATAATTCATGAAATGTGTTAAGGTTTACATTCTAGGTGGAAATGAAGTGAGAGTGAATTGATTTCCACCTTCCCTCACCAAAGTGTGCAGAACAATTTAAGAATCAACCATTTTTAAATTTAAAGGCAAAAAACAAACAAACAAACAAACAAAAAAACCACCCTAACCACATACTAAGGAGAAAACCTTTTACTAAAGTGTCAAACTTAACTGGGTTCAATACAGGTCAGATATATCTTCCAACCGCTACCACTGAAGTAAAAGAGCCTGAAAATCCTCCCTCTCCTGTACTTTTTACTCCTTTGTTGTTTTTTCAAAGACATCCCTTTAGCTTCTTAAACCCCCTTATAATTCATCTTCAGCCCCTGAGAACAAGGTTTATTAAAGACAAATCCATTTCTGAAGGCAAAATCTTTTTGCTTCTTTTGCAAACATTTCGTGATCCAATTACTTCAGAGCCAATCACTCGAAATTGAAAACAATATTTTTGCCACTTACAAGACATTCCCTTCTCACAGATTCCCAAAGCCGCTAACTTTTTGGATATGAAACCGTAAAGTCAGAATAAAGTTTAAGCCCTTTCGGAGAGTTCTCCCACCTCTTTGGCTCTACTACCCAATTTCTGGGCTTTTTTTTTTTTTTTTTTTTAATAGTTGGAAGATTAAGGGAAAGGGTTTAACCCACCTCATTTTAAGGGCAGCTTAAGAGAGAACCACCACCGTTAACCTGCTAAGAAAATCAATCTTTTCCGTTGAACACATTTGATGCAGAGAAAGGCACTGCACCTCTTGCATTTCAACAGCAACACCTTTTATTTTTATGACAGTGGTTGACCATAGGTATGCTGTCTTTACGTCACATTCCTCTAGAAAAAGGCACACGCAATGGCAAATGAAAGTTCAATTCCCTTACAAAGCAAGTCATTTCCCAAGGGAAACAAGTCTCAAATGGGACACCCCTCCCCCCTTACCTTAAGGACCTTTCATGTCTCTCATATATATGAACCCTTCCCAGTACTGTTTTTAAAATGCGCTTGTCTTTTCTCCTTTGTCCCAATATTTGAGTGAATATACACAAATTCTCAACCAAAAGCCAAAACTGTTGGCCAGAATTCCAACACTAAGAGGGAGGTTGGAAAGGTGGGAGAAATTTGAGGTCACCCGTTTGACAAGTTCAAAGTAATGTTTTCCGTTTAAATCCTTAGTGCTCAGTCTCTTGGGTTCTTGAAAGGGTACAAAGTATAGTCATCAACTAGATACAAAGTTAGAACAAAACACATTAATACTTCAAAATCAGGGATGCTGACCTAACTGCTGTAATATTGTATCTTTTGTTGGGTTCCCCCCTCTTTAAAAAAAAAAATCCAAGCAAACAAACAAAAAGCAGGAACACATAGGGTGTGAGACTTTTATGAATCTCTTAGAAATGTTTCAAGTCCTAACTCAGTTGGAACTGAGGGCATCAGGAAGAGTTACTTCTATTTCTTTCAACAGTAAAAAGTATATATACACAAAACACATATACACAGCGGTTCATTTTGCTTCAAATATTAGTTGTAGCTAATTCACTAGTTCCTGTTTTATGCCTCCATGAGATTGAAAAAGCCAGTAACAGACCAACTGAAGAAATAGTTTTCAGACAGACTAAAAACACATACCACAAAATGCTTCCTTCAAAGAACACAAAATGATAGAGCAAACGGGCTTCATGCAAACACTTTTTTTAAATCCTAAAACTTCAAAAATTGATTCATTCTAGAAAAATGAAGTGCCTTCTCACCACCCCGCAAACACACACACACACACACACACACACACACACACACACACACACAGAAATCTGACTCAGTGTTTGCGCTCAAAAAATTATTTTGGGGAAGGGAAGAACACACAAAAGATGCAATTTAACATGGATGGGGAAAAGAAGATTTTGTATCCACTCTTCTCACAAACCCCACCCCTTCCCAAGTCAAAAGGGCCCTAAGTAATGCATTTTGGAGGGAACAAGGAGCCTAAAAACGGCTTGAAAGCAGATGGCTTAGGGGGTAAGATCCATAAATACAGAGCACCATGGAAATTAAAATATAAATGTTTTGGGTCCCATTTCATCACATTTTGCTATTTCTCTTGCCTTCGAATCATTCCCTTTAAAATTTAAACCATCCTGAAGAGCCAAAGGGGGGGGGGGGTAAAAAAAATCCCACATATTTCAGAATTCCAGTTATTCTGGATCTCTCTCCTCAACATGTTTTAAACACTCAGCTTTCAGTTCAATTATCCACAATCTTCTCAATAAGCCTACTGATGATGTCAGTGGGCTTCTCTCCTTTGCATCTCCAGGAAATGTTTCAAAATAATAAATAAGGCTCCCCCCCCCTTCCGATTTTATTGCCTCTTTACTCCTAACTCTAATTGCCTTTCCAATATGAGTTTGGAAGCATTGTGAGGTTAAATCACAGGCTCTATAAACACAGTTACAAGCCATATTGATCATCTATAGATACAATAGTTCCAACTTACTTAAAATATCTCAGAGCAAAACCCACTGAACAGATTTTTATCAGACTTAAACTTTGCAGTTAAACTTCACCTCAAAAAAAAAAAAGGCACCCAACCTCCACCTTCCCACCCAGAAAAGACCAGGGATTATTCTCAATGCGGCCAAGTTTCCAGCTGAAATTAGGGGGGAAGACACCCCAAGGAGAGGACAGGGTAACCCATGGCTCAAAGACTTCCTGGGAACTGCCACATAAGGGAAAACTCTGCACTGTCAACATGTTTCAAGTCAGATTTGAGAAAGCTAGACTCTGCCCTTATAATTTCCCAGCCAGAGTTCAATGAAAGACCTGAAATCCACCACGAATCAGATTTGGGGGTAACATGATGGCAGTACCCCACTTTGCTTAAGTGAGGATAGAAGGGTACTGGGACGCAGACACACACACACACTCTCTCTCTCTTCACTATTCATCCAGGGAGTTCTAGACCCTCCAAAGAGCCCCAGCTCACAGCCTGAACAAAAAGCTCTCACCCCAGATGGTCCCCTTGTAACAATGGACTGAAGGAGTGGGGGGGGGGGGGGGGGCCTCAGAAAGGATAGCACAGCCAAAGCATATTCTCTGCAAAATCCAGTCGGGAGGGGAGGCTGCTCATGTTCGGGGACTTAGGATAGGGCTCTGTGAAAAAAAAAAATAATACTGTCCTTGCCTGTTGCAGAGATATACAGAAAACAAGCATAAGGCTATGAATTCTTTTGGGGGCAGGAACTCAAAATCCACTCCCCCTAGGGAGTCGTAGGGGACCCACCCCCATCTACTTAAGAATTATGCTAAGAGATGGGTGGAGGAAAAAGAGAGAAAATGAGGCCTGCTAGAAGTTACAGAAATGTCCATGAGTTGGAACTCTTCGAAGATTTTTAGCTTGCCCGCAAAAATGGCCCCACACCTTGAACAAACTCCACAAGGTTTCTCCCCTATTGATTTTTCCCCCATTTTCCTTCTCCAAATACCATCTCTCAGCCCACCCCAAACCCGGCTTATTTTTTACAAGCTGTAAACCACCCATTACAAGATCTTAGCCAATCTTCCCTCCCTGCCCCCAACATCCGGAGTTGGGGGTGGGAAGGCCAGTAATGGGTTTCTTCCACTGGAGATACCACGGACCCCTGAACACCGCCTCTAAGCGCCCCCAGGTTGCCTCCCTTCTCAAAGAGCCCTTTCCTACCTTTGTTTTTTGGGGACCGAGTGTTCAATCTCTAGGCGTTTTCCTTGCAATTCGACTTTCCCTAAAGGTTAAAAAAAAAAAAAAAAAAGACAATATAAGAGCTGGAACAGGACTGTGGGGTGGGAAAGGGACGGAGGAAAGAGGGGGACTCGGGAGTCACTGGGATTGGAGACCGGCCTCGGATTCCAGGCAGTGGGGTGCGCGGCCGGACGCCTAAACGGTCGCTCGTGGAATGGTGGAAAACATAAATTCGTTATTGTGTTTTGTGAATTTTCGTTCTGCTCTGTTCTCCCACTGAGGCCAGTTGGGCAGTGGCTCGCTCGGGGAGCGGGATCCGGGAAAAGGGGCGACGCGGGCGCCTGCATGGGCGGGCTGCCTGCTCGGCTCCCAGACGTGGGGAGCAGGGGCCGGGAGAGAAAGCCCCCCCCCCCCCGCTCCCAAAGTGTGTGGCGGGGGAGGGGTGCAGAATGAAACTTTAGTTTCCCCGTCCTGCCGCGGAGAGGGGCTCCGGGCGGCGGGGCGCTCACCTGTCGGGGCCGGCGGTGGGCAGAGGCCCTGGGGGAGCGGCGCGGGGCCCCGCGGGGAGGGTCCCCGGCGGCCGCGACGCGCGCCTCTCGGCCCAGCCTGGGCGTCTCGGGAAGCAGCATGGCGACCCGGCGCCGCCGCCGCCGCGCCACCCCGCTCACGCCCCACTTTCAAATCAAAATGGCTCGAGCCCAGGCCCTGGGCGGGAGGCGGGACCCCCTCCGTCTCAGGTCCTGCCCGAAGGCTGCAGTCCCCTCTGGGCACCCGGGAGACCGGAGACGGTGCGGGGACCCTTTCCCCGCCTGGAAAGGCCTAGGGCGGAGGAACGGGAGCAGGGGGTGTCCGCCCAGAGGGGTGCGGGGGTGCGGGGGTGTCCAGCCTCGGAGAGGGAGGGGCGGACGTGGAAATAACGCCGGACCGGGGACCCCCACCCCCACCGACACACACAGCCAATGGGGCCCCCCGCCCCGTCGGTGGGGGGCAGGGGCGGCCTTACTAAAGGCTGCAGCGTCTGCTCTGGGGCTGGGAGGAAGGGGCGAGGAGGTCCGGGGTATTTCCGCGCGAGGGGCGAGTCGGGGGGACGCAGCGGGCGTCGAAGAAGGCGGGCGGAGGGCCGGCGCCCAGGCCAAGCCCCGCAGGCCGGGAGGGAGAGAGGAGTTGGCGGGCCGGGGGAGAAGAGGGGCATGGCTCCGTTGTTCGGGGGTTTCGTTGTGGCTTTTCCGGGGAGGTGGGCGCACTCTTACCGGAGAAAGTTTCGATGGCCTTCATGGCCCAGTGCTCGTCGGGGCAGTCCACGAAGGCATAGCCGGACTTGACCAAGAACTGGCCGCTGTAGGAGATCTTGTGCTCCGCAAACACTTTCTCCAAGTCCGCGGGGGTCACGCTCTCGTTGAGGTTGCCGATGTACAGCTTGTTCATGGTGGCGGTCTCGGGGCGCGACGCGGTCCCTGGCAAGGCCGAGCGGGCGGGCGCGGGCGGCGAGCCTCCTAGGCCGAGAGGCGGGAGGCCGGCGGCGGCAGCCGCAAACTTTCTTCGCACCCCACCCCTGAAGTTGTCCGGAGCCCGCGGCGCGGGGGGCGGCCTGAGGGCGCGCGGGGGTCGCGGGAGAGTTCGGCGAGGCCCGGGAGAAGTGCCCGCGGCGCGCTGGGAGGCGGACGACGCGGCGCTGCTCCTTCCCTTCTGTCCGAAACCCCTCCGAGCGGGCTGGTGTGTCACGTTTCTCCGCGGCCGCCCTGGCGCCGCCTCTAAATAAAATCGACTTGAAAAAAAATGGAGCGGAAAAAAAAAAAAAAAAAAGGGCGAAGCCACGTGGTGAAAGCCCCCACCCACCCTGCTCGGGAAGACCCCCGACGCCTCCGGGCCCATCGGCCCTTCAGCCCGGCCCTGCCCACCAATCTCTAGCCTGGGGGGGGGCACTCAACTCACCCCCGGGAGGGAAATAGGGCGGTGGGGGCCGCGTTCCCGAGGATCTACTTGCCCCCTCCCCCTTGGCTTGAATCTGGCCCCTAGGGAGGCGCCCCGCCCCCACCCATCCCCCTACCCCTGCCCCGGCTGGGGGAGGGTGGTCGGGCCCAGAATCTCCCACCTCTTTATGGGTAAAATGTACGGTTATTTTTTATTCGTGTGGCGGCTGGGGGGGGGGGCGGTGAGAGTTTGCCCACCCTACCCCGGTTAACTGCTAGCGACTGACAGGCGGGGAACGGCCGAGATAGACAAAGAGAAGCCGAGGACTCTGGGGTCTTCAAGCGGGGGTCGCGCGAGCCGGCGATTTTAAAAGAAAGGCGCCTTTCCCCCTAGATTGTTAAGTGAGGGGTCTCGGCCTTCCCGGCCCCTTTCCTGGGAGCCTCCCCCGCCTCCGGGAATCCGGGAGCGAGGGACCCTGCGAGCGCGGGACCGGGAAGCGGGGCCCGCGGGGGCCCGCGGCTGGGAACGAGGGATCCGCGAGAAAGCATGTTTCGGGATTCCCACGGGAGAAGGGGGACTCGCACCCGGGGCTGAGCTGCCCAACGAGGCCGTCTCAGGGTCCTGGGGGAACGCGCGGCTCCGGCCCAGGCTGACCCCAGGAGAGGGAGGGGTGGGGAGGAGGAAGAGGAGTGGTAGCGTGAGCAGACCCGAGCGAACCGAAGGGGGAGGTCTCAGGGAGGGAGTGACCGGGTGGAGAACCGAACGCTCCCTTCTCCCTCCCTGACGCGGGGGCAGACAGGTGGAGTCCCCTCCGCCCGCCCCACCCCGGCCGGCGACCGCAGCTTTCCCAGCGCCGGGTCCGGGGCTCGGAACTTTGTTTGGGGTGCAGAGCGGTGGGATCCGGGCGGGAAGGCGGGAGAGGGGCCGGGGGCGGGGGGCCGAGCGCGAAGCCCCGCCCACGTCCCCAGGTCAGACCCGCGGGGGGAGGGGGTAATTTCCGCTCGGCGCTCGGGGAAGCGAGGGGCGGGAGCTCGGAGGAGGGGGCGGTGGCCCCTCCCCCGCCCGTTCCTGGGGAGGGGGAAGCGGATCCGCCCTGGTCCCTTTCCTCGCCTTTGACCAACTCGCTCCGGATCCTCCGGCCCCGGGAGCCCGAGGGACGGACCCGACTGGGCTAGGGGCGACACGTGGGCGGTCGCACCCCGTCTCGGCGGTGGGGGAGGGGGCAGTGCGCCGCGCGTTTCGGAGTCCCGGATAGGCGGCGGAGAGCGGGACGCGCGGTCCACGCGCAACCGGGATCCCGGGCCGAGTGGCGGGCGAGGGCAACGAGTTTCCAGCGGAGGGGGCCGCGACGGCGCCGGGGGGGTGGCAGAGAGCGCGGCCCGGGGACCTCGGAGCCCCCCCAGGCCCGGGGCTCGGGGAAAGAAGCGGGGGGTGGACCCCCCAGAAACGCCAGACTCTCCCTGAACTGGGCGGAAGCTCGGCTTCTGCTCCGGGTTCTGCGGGAGGGAGAAACAATTTTGTCGGGGGCACGCGTGCTGCGAGGGCAGGTGAGGAAGGGGGTCACTCTCCCTTTCCCCGTCCCCGACCCCATTGTCTCAGTCGCCTGCGGCCCGGGCCGGCTCCGCAACACGTGTTGGCTGCACTGATATGAATGCCTTGGATTTTTTTTTTCCTTGTTATTATTTTTTGTTTGCAGAGTCAGCTCGCTGACTCCCGACGTGGGCACCCCGCTCTTCTGTCCGACGATTTAAAAAAAAGTCGGGACTTAAAAGACCACACGCCGCACCTTTGTCCCCCTCCTGGTTTTCCCCGCGCGCTGCAAAGAAACGGGGCTTGGGCGTGGGGGGAGGGCTTCCAACTCGGTTTCTCCATCTCCACCACCTTCAAAATCCAGTCTCCAAATCCGCGTTTTGTTCTAGCCAGCCACGTGTTTGTCGGATTTGGGGGGTTGTGATGGGGTGTTGTTTTGTTTTGTTTTGTTTTGTTTGCCTTTGCATGGGGCAACAGAAATTAAAATACTATGAGCTGTGAGTTGCTCAGTTTAAAAAGAATGTTTTCTATGCAGGAAGGTGGGCGACATCTGTATCCTACCCCCCAGCCCTCTTCCGACCCTCGCCGCCGCCCCCCCCCCGCCCTTCCCACAGATTCTGATTCTTAATATTTAGTCAGCTCTTGACCATAATTTTCACACAAACCCACGAGCTGGAAACGGTGGCTGCCACATAGTAGGCATTCAATAAACATTTTAAAAAGGAAAGACCAGCTAATCCAAACTGCAGAGCAAAGAGAATAAAGAGGAAAATTGAGATTCCGGGGGGGGGGGAAATCTTGCCAGAGTGTGTGTCTGTTGCCCGGGGACTTTTCTTGGTGATGTGTGTGGACTTTTGAAAGGGCTAAAAGATGGTCTCAGAAAGGCTCTTGTGTTTCTTGGCCTCTTCCTAAAAAGGAGCCCCAATCTGCTGAGATCTTTTTTGTTATATTGGGGAATAAGGAAGAGGGTCCTAGGCAGAGCAGGGCAGTTCCCAGAAACTTTAAGTGCTGTTTGCTCCATTTAATTTAAATCTCTAAGAATTAATAGAAGCACCTCTCAGGGTTTCTCCCTGGGGAACATACCCACTACTCTATCTCTTTATTCCTAAAACAAAAGCAAGTTACACCCCACAAAAATTTCCATCCAGACCTCTAAACTCCTGTAAAATGCAGCTCACCTTTTCCCACCCTAGATTCAAAGGAAAACAAAAATTGTGAAATCATCAAATTCGGTTCACTTTTAGATTTTTTCCCCTTTTAAAAAATACAATAGAAAGCTACATGTGAGTTGAAATTCATGTCTTTTACGTGTTTTAAAATGACAGCAGAGGAGAGCATACACATTTGTGAAAATGAACATTTACCAACTGTTGCTAAATTGAAACTGATTAGTTCTTTTTAAAAATCAGATGTCTCGGTGAATTCTAATCCTCCCCCCTGCCCCCACCAAGGGCTTCTGTGTATAGTCAGAGGCTGCAAGGACTCAAGAGAGAAGAGACAGCTGGGTTGAGATGCAGACCTTTTTAGCCCCCAAATCAGTTTTGCCTCAATGATCTGGCTATTTTAGGCTGGGGTTGGGGGAACTGAATGATGTTGATTGGTGCTTCATCTCCCCCCTGAGTGAGCCCAGCACTAAAATTAACCTGAGAGAAGGGTTATTTCTTGTGAAGACTCATATTCCTAGGATAGGAAAAGGAATGCGCCAACTTGGAATGCCATAACTTATCATTCTCCTTTTCTTTCCTTCTTTCTTTTGTTATTAAAGACAACTAATAAATATTGTATTTGTCTTTCTTATTTTTTTCCTACACAGCTTTTTGGGGAAAGAGTAATCTTCAGTGGGGAATTAAATTCAGTTTGTGACAGTTAAAAATATAGCTGCAGGGAAATATACATACATATATATATATATAACTGTAGGATAAATTATTTAATTTCTTTAATAACACTATTTTGATTATTCCACTTATTTATTATTGTTACACATATTTTGGGGTGTTTTTCTTTTTTTCTTAATTTCTTTCTTTCTTTATTTTTTTTTTTTGTTGTTGTTGTTCTTCTTCTTCTTCTTCTTCTCTACCTCTTTCCTCTTCACTTTTCCTGAAGAAGTGTTTGGTCTACTTGTGAGATTCAATTCTCTGAGTGCAGAAACACTGAAACTTGACTCCATTTAAAAGACAGGATTCTGATCCATTTTCCTTCAGTGTGAACATACAAATTCAGAGAGGAAAAAAAACCTGAAGACAATAAAAACTTTTTTTAAAAAAAATAGATTTCCTTTTTTTAAAAGAAAATTAACAATTCCATCGTCATATAATATTAATTTTATTTTTAAATGTATCTTCCTAATTGTTGTCCATGGGTAATAGTTTTGGATTTTCTCATCTTATTTGTATATCTTCATTTTTCACTTGCTGTTCTACCTACCAGAAGTATTTCTCCAAGTTTTCCTCAAAGTTTTCAAAACTATCATTTTTTTTTGCTAATATGTAACATTCAGTTCACTAGATGTAAGTTAATCATTAATCATTATTTTTTTAAGTATATAAGTTACATCAAATTTTTTTTACTTTTGTGAGAAGTGCTGAATAGATATTTGGGGGCATATAACTTTTTCCTCTTTTAAATGAGCTCACTTGAATAAATCCCCACAATATATACCATATTGTTAATTTTACATTTATCAATGACTTTCTTTTTAAAAGTTGAGTTGAGCATATTTTACAAAAGAGAGGACACAAAAAAACTGGAAAGCAGTTAGGAAGGAAATATATTAAAATAGAACTTTTCTGTGTTTTTTTCCTAATGTATCTTAATCAATTTTGAAACAGAACTATGGTTTCTAATGAAATACAGAAAAAGAAAAAATCACATTTATGGACACATGGCTACTTAGACGAAACAGTTTTGGGAAGAATTTGGTTTTTCTTTGCTTGGTTTTTATTTCTTTTGCTGCTGTTTGCTTGTTTTTCTCCTTGTTATTGCCTTGGGATATTTTGTTTCTTCCTGCAACTTGAAGTCTTGGTGTGGTTCTTTTAAATGCCTATAAACTTTGAAAAAGTGTAAATTAGTCCCCATTTAAAAGCACATGAAGCATTTTCTCCTGTCAAATAAATAAGGATAATTATGTGTTTAAGATAACTCATAAAATGGAAGGGAATTGTAAGCAGGATTGGAAGAAAAGGAAAATTCCCTTCAAATTATTATTGAGAAGTGTTGCATGTTTAAGACCTTAAAAAGAAAAGTGTTTATTCCAGAGATAGAAAAGACTCT